AGTAAAAGAGGATGGTGATGGTTCCAGTAAAAGTGGATGGTGACTGCACCAGTAAAAGAGGATGGTGATGGTTCCAGTAAAAGTGGATGGCTACTGCACCAGTGAAAGAGGATGGTGACAGAACTGGTAAAGAGAATGGTGATGGTTCCAGTAAAAATGAATGGTGACTACATTAATAAAGGAGGATGGTGATTACTGTAGTTACAGTGGCAATTAATAGTACTTGGTAATATCAACAAATCAAAGACGATAAACATTACAGTCTGTGCTTTTTATAATTTTTTTTATATATTTTTACTGTAGAAGTTCTTGTTGGCAGTAAATGTTAATATGAAAAGTCCTACAGTTCTTGTAACAATCCTCATATACAGATATATATATGTGTATTCTATGAAACACTTACCAATGGCTCAGTGGTAAGTCAGTGGGCTTATGTCGCTAAAATTCGGGTTTTGATACCTACGGTCTGGAGAGCACAGATAGCCCGTTGTGTAACTTTTCACTAAAAAAAAAAACAACGACCCAAGACAAAAGGAAGCAAACAATACAAACCAGTCCTAAATCAACGATACACCACAACAACAATATGAACAATATCAAACACAACAATGTAATGTAGTGTTAGAAATTACAATGTAACATACTAGTAGATGGCCATTGAAACAGTTCAACGGTAAATTTGTTAAACATTATTATGAATAAATAAAAAAATGTGCAGTCAACCCAATGCCTGTGGTTATAGCTTTTGTGCAATATGATTCTCTAGTGGGCCGTTTACAACCGTGTTTTGTTATTCCATGTGTTATTTCTACGAGGAAAATTGTATTGCGTTTGTTTTTAAGCAATGCATTCATTGTTGGCAAAAATGTTTGAGTTTCGGTGCATCCAGCACAACAGAGTGTTCAGGTTCGCTGAGTAGCCGCGGGGATTTTTTTCCGCTGGATGCTACCGTTCCTTCTCATTTTACTGAGTGCAAGAAAAGATCGCTACTCCAGTGAGCGTTTTCTGACAGTTGTCATTTCTACAAGAAATGTCAAAGGGGGAAATATTCAGTTCAATTTATTCGATATGGTACAATAAAATCATGCATGCATATAATACGAATAAGACAAAATATATATGTATGAACTGAACAACAACAAACATATATACTCAAACACGTTCTTCGCTTTATGTTGTTTTTTTTTTCGTTCGTCTCCCTATCTTCGAAAAATTTCTCTCAATCAGTTGGAGAAGGAAGTCCCGTTTTCTCGTGAAATTCCCTCACAAAAAAGAAATATTTTTATTCTTAATATTTTTTTTTCCTAAGATTAATTGTTTAGCACTTATGAAGACTGACGGATCGATGTTAATATCGATATGTAATTTTAGGAATTGGGAAAATAAATAATTTTTTTTGTAATGTACTCTTGAAAAAAAGAAAGCATTTTGATATATATATATAATTTTCCCTCTACGATTTAAACGTTCAAGAGATATACGAGATATATGCCCTGTGTTTTACTCACAGAACCGCAGCTGTGTACTAGATTTGGTTTAAAAAGATCCTTTGTTTTACTAACAGAGCCACAGATGTGTACTAATTGTAGTGTAGAAAGATCCTTTGTTTTACAAACAGAAACACAGCTGTGTACTAGATGTGGTGTAGAAAGATCCTTTGTTTTACTAACAGAGCCACAGATGTGTACTAATTGTAGTGTAGAAAGATCCTGTGTTTTACAAACAGAACCACAGCTGTGTACTAGATGTGGTGTAGAAAGATCGTGTGTTTTACTCACAGCTGTACATTAGATGTGGTATAGAAAGATCCCGTGTTTTACAAACAGAACCACAGTTGTGTACTAATTGTAATGTAGAAAAATCCTGTGTTTTACAAGAGGCCTAAGATTTTGTAAACAGTGGAACATTTGAGCTGCAACATCATTTTTGCCTCAAAATCTCATTTTACAGAAAAACATATTCTCAGTTATAGCTTGTACATCTCGTGTTTAATGAAACTATTAAACTCATCAACCGTGTATTTATTATACCTGACAAACAGCTTTCATGTTTGTTCTGTAAATCGAATTATTTCCAAAATACAGGTTATGATAGTGAGTTTTGAAGAAAATGATACATTTCTTTCAAATAATCAAAGTGTACACATTTACAAAGGGAACAAAACTTCTGTGCTCAAGAGATTTCAATTAACAATACAACTTTCAAGACAGATGTGTACAGTTAAACAAGTCAATAAATTCTGCCAGTTTTTATTATCGATTGTCAGTTTTGTTATAGAAGAAGCTATAATAGCTTTTATTTCTTGTGAATTATTTAGGACTAACTTTAAGGGTGACTCGATAAATGAAAACATTTTGTCATTACGAAAAAAACAACACATTATAATTACTTAATGTATGGTTTAGGTATTTTCTGAAATCACTCACAACTGAGATTATAAACTATGTTCCAATTTTCAAGACTTCTTACAATACCACTTTGAATAGATTGTTTCTGTTTTCAACAAACGTTTTTACTTTTGAATGAAAGACAAAAAAAAACACATAAAGTATATCCAAGTGTTTAATTCAAGAAAGTCTTCAAGATATTATTTATAAGAGTGAAACCCGCAGGAAATAAATACGTTACCTTCTTTAAGTTAACTCCAGAGTTGCAAGGGCTACATTAAGTATATTGAGAGAACAAGCTGAGGGTGACACGAGCTAAGTAATGTGGATGAGAAACTGTAACTGTACAAAGTAAGACAAAGTTCACGTTTCACAATATAGAAATGGACAGATACTAATTAGTTTACTGTCAATTTAGCTGAGATGGTGCAGTCAAAGAAGTTCTGATTTTTACAGCCCATGTTTTATCTTCGAACCTGGAGTTTACCTCAATTATATGTACATGCATATGTATTAAAACTTCGCCACCTAGTGGTCAGTCACTGGTAGTCAGACATCGTATAACAAGCCTTTAGTTCAGTAAACATTTCTGTGAAGAAACTGGGCTCTTTGTTGATACGTAGCATCTTCCCGCTAAGAAGATTGATGATGAGAAGACAGCGGTCCCAAAATATTTCCCGAGTCTCCTCCACCAGAAAAGGTTTCAGTGGGTAGGAGATTTCATTCCCCATGTAACAGTAAGAGAGGTACAAACAGGTTAGCACGATTGCCTGCAGCTCCCTCTCGCTGTCAATGTCATCAGTGACCAGTTCCCTGACCAGCATGTACAGAAAAACCACGTTTGCTGGATTGATGAAGGCAACATCCTGCCAACCCTGGATCAGCAATGACCTATCTACTGTCCTAAGCCACGTTACAGCGTCATCAGCATAGAAATTCCTTATCTTCCGACACTTCTTCGACAAAAACTCTCCCAGTGAGCTCAGTAGCTCCGAGGTGGATGCCTGGATCACCGTTTTCCTGGGCGTGCTTGCAGGCTGTATTCTGGGCTCAACTGTGGCTCTCAGGGCTCCAGGAAGAGTAGGACGGACCAAGTTGTGTCCCGATAATACTACAGGCTTTGATAGTACGGACGGAAGAGCGACTTTTTGAAAATTATTATTTTTAACTTCCAAGTCCACTGTTCCAATGCTGGTAGCTTTCAAGTTATAACTCGAGGATGACTTCTGTATATTATTTTTATTGGCCACAAGAGAGTCGATGTTATCCAGTGGGTGTCGAGATGTCGTGTTCTTATTCTTGTCACTTTTCCTTTTACCAGACACGCTGATGTGTTTTTTCCACGTGAGAGCGTTGATGAACAGGGAATGCTTCTTGAAATGGCCATACTGCTGCTGGGAACTGCTTTTTTTCTTAACTTTAGCGTTCTTGTGTTGCTCATTAGTTGGAACGTGCACTTCAAAAGTAGGTTTTGGTCCTTGTGGGAAGATGCTCAGAACTGTTCCCATTACTCCAAATAATCACAACAAAGTCTGAGAGTAAACCCACGACACTGAACCATTCAGCAACAACTCTTGTATTACTTGTATGGGTGACCTTTTACTGTGAAAGTCAAACATCAGAGTTGACGTCAATTTCTTCTAAAACTGGGACTACTGAAATCTAGGAAGCATCTTTCTGAGGGGCTGAACCAAGTACTAAAAATTATCCCTTTTTCCTTCGCTAGGTGACTGTTTCGTTTCAGTTGACTAGCCAGTATGCTCTAGCCTTTTTGGTAAGTTATTCCTTTTGTTGGATACCTCTCTCTGCAGCTCGATCGAAATTGGAGTTACGTGTTGTAGTTACCACGGCAACAAGACTGGAGAGTGCGCACAATGGCGTTGCATTTTAGATTATGTAATTTAAAATATGATAACAAATACTAGCTGTTATTGGTTAGGCGTACAATAGCATCCCTTACAATGATGAAAAAAAGTGTTTTAAGAAATTACTTTATAATTTTCATACCGAAAGATAAGACGTGAAAAAGAATCCATATTTTTAACATTCTGGGTAGCGTGTTCGTTAAAGATTTCCTGAAAACATACGGTTTACAGAGAATTACCTTTCGTGACATTAAAATAAGCGAAATATGATTAAATTCCAGGACATCAAGCTCATATTTATTGAAAAACAATTGAAAGGTTGACAACACGCACGCTAATTATGAAGAATAGATTAAAAAAATATGTTCGAACAAATATCGCTTTACGATAATAGTTCGAACAAATATCGCTTTACAATAATAGTTCGAACAAATATCGCTTTACAATAATAGTTCGAACAAATATCGCTTTACAATAATAGTTCGAACAAATATCGCTTTACAACAATAGTTCGAACAAATATCGCCTTACAACAATAGTTCGAACAAATATCGCTTTACAATAATAGTTCGAACAAATATCGCTTTACAATAATAGTTCGAACAAATATCTCTTTACAATAATAGTTCGAACAAATATCGCTTTACGACAATAGTTCGAACAAATATCGCTTTACAATAATAGTTCGAACAAATATCGCTTTACAATAATAGTTCGAACAAATATCGCTTTACAACAATAGTTCGAACAAATATCGCCTTACAACAATAGCTCGAACAGATATCTCTTTACAACAATAGTTTGAACAAATATCGCTTTACAATAATAGTTCGAACAAATATCGCTTTACGATAATAGTTCGAACAAATATCGCTTTACGATAATAGTTCGAACAAATATCGCTTTACAATAATAGTTCGAACAAATATCGCTTTACAATAATAATTCGAACAAATATCGCTTTACAATAATAGTTCGAACAAATATCGCTTTACAATAATAATCCGAACAAATATCGCTTTACAATAATAGTTCGAACAAATATCGCTTTACAATAATAATTCGAACAAATATCGCTTTACAATAATAATCCGAACAAATATCGCTTTACAATAATAGTTCGAACAAATATCGCTTTACAATAATAGTTCGAACAAATATCGCTTTACAATAATAGTTCGAACAAATATCGCTTTACGATAATAGGTCGAACAAATATCGCTTTACGATAATAGTTCGAACAAATATCGCTTTACGATAATAGTTCGAACAAATATCGCTTTACAATAATAGTTCGAACAAATATCGCTTTACAATAATAGTTCGAACAAATATCGCTTTACAATAATAGTTCGAACAAATATCGCTATACAACAATACTGAGCTTTCAGATTATCTTGATGTACGCCTTTCAAATCCGGAAAAAAACAAAACACAAAAAAACGCTGTTTTGGAAAATAAAATTTGTTTCATTTCTTACATTGAAATAATAAATTTGAGACGGGTTTATATGATAAATAATCTGAACCAGCTAGACATTTCAGCGTGTTTCTCAGTCGGTTCTGTTGGTTTTATTTCTAGAAAACTATTTTACTGATAGTTGTATTTTCATCAAAATAATAATAATGTTGCCTTTCCAGGCTATCAAATGTAGTGTATATAATAGCTTTACACGTTAAAAAAATATAAAAAAAGAGGACATAATTAGAACATTTTTATTTTTGTACTTTACTTCTAAATTGTTGTTGTTGCTTGAAGTTAAACACAAAGCTACACAATGGGCTATCGGTACTCTGCCCGTCACGGGTATTGAAACCCGGGTTCTAGCGTTGTAAGTCCGCAGAATTACTTCTAAAGAAAAAAAATTAAAAATTGCGTTTTTGTTGACCCCATTGGTACAGCAGCATGTCTGCGGACTTACAACGCTAAAATCCGGGTTTCGATACCCGTGGTGGGCAGAGTACAGATAGCCAATTGTGTAGCTTTTTTGCTTAATTACAAGAAAAAAAAAACTTCTAAAGAAAAACATTAAAAGTTAGAAAATATCTTTTTGTTGATTTATATAACAATGTTACAGTGAATAGAAACACCTAGCTGGTAGTAATAACGTTTTTATTTCAGTGGTTTGCTTGAAGGCTTATATAAGCTGTGACGCTAAAGTTGGGGCTACAATTCACGACAAACACAGACCAGATATTCTATTGTACAACTTTGTGCTAAAACAACGAAACAGCTATTTTATAAACTGATTTTAGACGACTTTCGAGAAACGAACTTGTGAAGTTGTAAATATATTTATTATTCAAGTATCTTGCTTTATTTGGTGCTGGCTGAAACATACTTCACGCTAGCGTGTAGGTACTGCGAAATTTTATATCAAGTCCATAGTCATCCATATACAAGGCCCAAGTGTTATTTTCTTATTGTTTAAGACAATAAGTCTGTTTCGTTCGAAAAGTAAGAAAAATTAGGATGTAAAGGTTGCTTTAAGTTAAAATTTAAAATATTATAAAACTGTTTGATATTACGGTATTTGATATTTCATGTAATATATGTCATATGTTAGTATTGCTATATAATAGTTAGTATTATAACTATACTATAATATTAGAACAATAGCGGAGTGTTAATAATATTTTCTACATTGTTAGATGCACGTTACGGCAGACTCGAGAAATACGATATTACAACCAGTTTTGTGATTTAACGAATATTCTAATATCAAACAATTTTATTTACTAGCCCATAAAGGCGAAACGTTGGTTAAAATGAAAGCTACCTTATAATTATCTGGAGCGTAAAGGTATTTTTTTTCTAACTTTATTATCCAGATATCACTTTCAACAAAACTACGTAGGATTTGTGTGTGTGTGTGTGTGTGTGTGTTAACTTTATAAGATGGCTTGGCGAATTGTTTTTGGTTTTGGTTTTTTGTATTTGACCCTTTCACCGATAGATATAAACAGAGAATTTTCCATGTTGGTTACGTAAAACGTTCACGTGTGACGTATTTGAGTCACTTTCAAATTTACAGAACAAAAAAATAATAATAATAAAATCCCGGTGGGACAGCATTAATTTACGGACTAACATCCGAGGTTCGATTCTCCACAGTGGACACAGCAGATAGCCTAATGTGACTTTGATCTAAAAACAAAGAAACAAACCAAAATAAATCTACGTACACTATTTTCTTTAATCCTAGAACGATCTACATGGTCCCATTCGGTTTTTAAAGAGAGTTTTTTTATGAATTATTTATGTACGAAATTGCTTGTGGGCCCATCTGTTTCTGGGTTAAAGGGTCCCCAATAACATGGGTCACAAACTTGTAAACAAAATCTTACTAATCACTGCTGGGGTACTGTTTATATGTTACATAGGAAACGAGTGATTTCATCCCACCCCCTATTTTGTTGTCACTTCTTTATACTGAGTGCTGTAACAGGCTAAAACATAATTACCCAATTCAATGCAGTATGTGGACTCCACCGGTTGTGGTCCTCCGGTGGGATAACGATCAGTTTACAGACTTACAACGCTAAAACTCGGGGTTCGATTCCCCGCGGTGGACACAACAGATAGCCCAACGTGGCTTTGCTTTTAAACAAACCATCCTTCGTGAACGGTATAAAAACAAGTCGGTAATTAAAAGATCAAACAACTACAAAATCTTTATCGAATGCAGATGTGACAATTACTCAAGTCAAGACTTTTAATTTGATCCATTTTATTTGTTTAACTTATTTAAACGTCTCACCAGCAAGCCAAATATCTTAGAAACGAAACGAAAACCTAATATCGTGTCTCTGACAATGAGCTGGCGTAGCATCAATCATGGTGGTGACCAAAACAGAACAGTAAATCGACCAAAACTTCTTCGAAGTCCAGAAGCCGTGAGATTCAAACCACCAGGTAGTTTTGAACTGCTTGTCACCTGGGAAGGCATTGCGTTCGTGTTGTCTGCGTTTTGACAAATTTAAAACGGTAACACTAATGGCTTTATATCGTGGACACTCAAACTAGTCCTAACATATACAGATAGACGTAAAAAATATAACAATTTTGACAGTTTAAAGCTTGTAGTGTAGAGTGGATATTTTTTCTTTTTCATTTAGTATTTGTTTGTTTGTTTGTAGTTAAGCACAAAGCTACACAATGGGCTATCTGTGCTCTGCCCACCACGGGTATCGAAACCCGGTTTCTAGCGTTGTAAGTCCGCAGACATACCACTGTGCCACTGGGGGGCATTCATTTAGTAGGAATAAAACATGACTTATCACTCAGATAAACGATATCATTCACTTTAAAAACTTTTGCCATTACTGCTTCATCGGGGCCAAAGGCCGTCTGGGGGGGG